AAAAATAATATTCTAAGCTGAAGGTGAATGAATGTAATCCCCAGAAACTGGTATCTTCATTGTAAAGGTGTATGAATTTATACTTTTCAAATGGAAAGGATATTATGTAATTTCATTTAAAATGTAAGGTTCTACCTTTGCTTCTTTATTCTTACTCTTATTGATTAAACATTTACAAATGCAACATAGTATAGGATATTTTGATTTTCATTGGAGAGATGCTATGCTAGAAAGCAATAATTTACGCACTTAATATTTTCCACATCTTGCCAGTAAACGTATTTGGCATGCCATGTTTACAACCGATGACCAATGATGTAAGCAATCCACAAAAGTTTTTCAATTATACCACAAAATCACTGAACTTAATAAAATTTTCTACAAGAATCTCTAATATCGGATTTCTTTTCAGCTATAACTTTAATCCTCTAGCCTAAAAATGCTTTTAAAAATTTTTAAACTTAAAAAGAAAAAAGAACAGCAAACAATAACAGTATTTAGGTTGGTATTTCAATTAATAAAAATAAAAAATAATGTTCATATCTAATATTGTTAGGATCAACACTTCTTCAATTTTAATAGGTTGGCGTGAGATATGGTAAACACCTTATTACATTATATACATCTAGGTAAGAATTGTCACTACTTACAATTTAGGTGCTCTGAATTATATTTTCTACACAATAGGTTGGGAATTGGATTTAGATGAATGATTATTTAGTCTGATGAGAATTTTGAACCTTTTCAAATGGGCAATTTATTTCTAATTTAGAATAAGAATTAGATACAATTGTGCCCAAGTTTAAAAATAAAGAGTGGCAAGGAATTTTTCAATATTTGTTATACAATAGATTGGGCATTGGCACAGCCAGAACCATTCTAGTAATCATATAAATGCGCTTACTCGAAGGACTTTGCAATTTTTATAAATTCTTAAAAGAAAAATCACCATCCAAGCCAAGCCGTAACTTTGAGGAAATCAAAGCAGTTAAGATCTTATCCATTGTAAACGCACAAAAGTCAAATATACAACAAGAGCTGATGAAGATGTTTGTATCTGTGTTCACATTAATCTAAAAATGTGAGATGTAAAAGCACTTAATTTTGATATTGTGTACAAATTTACTCTTTTTTTTGTGTACAAATTTACTCGTACAAAATAATTTGTGCCCTTTCTTGTAAGTAAAACTGATTACTTCACTTTCTTGCCGCTTTGGAAGAGTAAGTTAAGAAATTAATGTAGGATTACCAACTAGACTTTTATGGCCCCTTTCTATATGGACATTGACCAATTTGGGTCGGCTATGTTGCATAAAATATTAAGATAAAGAAGGTTGTTTTTGATAAAATATCATAATTTTATTAAAATCTACAAAAATGATAGAAATTACATCATCAATCATACTCAGATATCAAAGGACAAATCTGGAGAATGTCATTCTCCAAATCTGAAGAATAATAAAATATAAGTATACTTTAAAAATTACTCCAGAAATTACTTATAACCTTCTTAAGATAGAGAAGGTTATAACTTATAAGTATAAAATTGAAAACGTCGAGATCCCAATTAGGACTGGAATCTGATTATCTTTATTTGGTCTACAGTTAATGCAGGCATGTTACGCACTCCACTAGTTATTATCCTCTTTTTTTTTATTTTTTATTTTTTTATATTTTTACAAACTATTATTGTTAGAGACGTTGACGTAATGCCTACCAAAACCCCAAATGTGAAAGCTCCTTTCCACACCTCTTGGTAAAACTTTTATTATTGTATCAATGCCTCTGCATCCATTCAAATAAAAAAAAAAAAAATTTCTCTGTTGCATTCAACCAAACAAAATGATTGTAGCAGTTAAGGATTTTTAGTCAATTTTTTTTTAATATAAAGGAAAAGAAACCTAATTCTTAGAAAATAGTCTTCTAATAGTAGAGAAAGCCAATTAGCTCTATGCCAGCACGCTTTCAGTCGAGTCAAATGTGTCTGTCGTCAGTTTACAGCTGCAATGACGGGTCCAACATTTGCTTCTTTCCGCAGCCTGTCGAGTCAAATAAAGCTGTTTAAGGGCTGTCATGTGCTCCCTCCAACAAATAGTTTTAGTTGTTTTCTTTTTTCGAGAATTTAACTTCTTTAATGAAGAATATGTTGTTATTGCAAGCTATCCTTGAATGAACTTACAACATGGCCCTCACATTTCTACCTATTATATAAGAAAGAAGTGAACTTTCTTGCTTTACCTCCTTGCTCGTCACGTGGCTTCGTAATAATTTGACAAGTAGTTTGCTAATATTTCTTGGACATTGCTATTCTTGCCATTGCATTTTATTTGGCCTTTTGTTCGTACAAAATCAAACAAATCTGACTCTTATATTTATGGGTATTTATTGGTCGATAATAAAAAATTCAGTAAAACAATTTTTGATAATTTGGGAATTGATTTTAAGACCCATATACAATTACTGTCCAAACCTTAGTTTGATAAATTGGATCGAAGAATCAGTAGTGAGTTAAAATATTTTAATTTTCTCTAAAAAAATTGTTATAACAAAATAATATCCGACATGTTTTTCAACAAAATTAATCGACTTACTCAAACAAACATGATATGCCAAAAAAAAAAGGGTTCATAATCCTAAGTTCTAAGTCATAATCTCAATTCTTAAACAATATTGAAATAAATAAGAATTTCAAATTTAATTGTTAAGCTAAACTCCAATGTATCAACTTCCATTAAAATTTTATAGTTAGTTAACCAAATCACTAATTACTAATTAATATTTAGTGATAGGATAAAGATTTACTCTTGTATTTAGTAATACACACAAGTGGGCATATATTCTACTTTTGTCTTCTATTGATTTTATGCGAAAGAATGATTTCTACTTAATTGTTCTTGAAATTTTAAGTGGGCATGGCCTGTGCTAAGCACAACCTTAAGTCTGCTAGTAACTTCTATACAACAGGGCTGTCATGTGCTCCCTCCAACAAATAATTTTGGGCAAATTATATTTTACCTCCATGTGATTTATCCTTTTTACATAATTCCCCTATAATTTCAAAAACTATACATAATCCCCTCATGATTTGGATTAAAGTGTCAAAGTGACGGAAATAGTCACTCATAACGGAACTTCTAAAAATGTCGAAATTACCCTTATAAATACATGGCACATTAACCCCGTATAATTTTTATATTTTACCAGATAACCCCCTTATAGTTTAATATTTTACCATATAACCCCCTTATGATTTTTAAAATATACACATAACCCCCCTTGGTTAATACATAATTTTCAACTTTACATAAGGATAATTTTGACATTTTAGGTGACGCCATTATGAATGATCATTCCCGTCATTTTGACACTTTAATCCAAACCATAAGGGGGCTGTGTATAGCTTTTGAAACCATAGGGGAGTTATATAAAAAAATGCTAAACCACGGGGGGATAAAGTGGAATTTGCCCAATAATTTTAGTTGTTTTCTTTTTCGAGAATTTAACTTCTTTAATGAAGAATATGTTATTGTTCCAAGCTATCCTTGAATGAACTTACAACATGGCCCTCACATTTAACTTCTATATATGATTGTGTATTGGCTTTATTTGGATTAGCTATTTTTGGAGGTATTTTTGAAATATTTTACTGTAACAATATAATTAAATTTTTTTTACTATATATGTTTTTAATGGTATTTTTGAAAATATGTTTTCGAATTTTTTTAAAATTTAAAATTTTAATAGAATATTTTTAAAATTTTATAAAATTTTACAACCACCCATTATTACCCCGCCATCCCTTCTCTCCTCCTTCCTCTTCCCTCCTTCTCCCTCTTACCTTCCTCTTTCTCTTCTCTTTCTTCCTCTCCCTTCTTTCTCCTCTATCTTCCTCCCTTACCCCTCCCCTCCTCCCTTCTTCCCCATGCCTCTCTCGCTGCCCCCTTCCCTCCTTTCCTATTGCCACCAAATGTGGTCGCGGGCGGCAACCATTTTCTGGTCACGACTCACGGCTAGAGGGGGGAAAAGGGAGAGGGGTGGCAAGAGAGGGTGGGGAGAAGGGAGGAGAGGAGGAGAAGCAGAGGGAGGAGAGGGGAGGAGGAAGAAGGGGGAGAAAGAAAGAGAAGAGAAAGGGAAGGGAAAGAGGGAGAAGGAGAGGGAGCAGAGAGGGGGAAAGGGCGGTGGGTGGTGGTGTGTTTTTTGTGGTTGGTGGTGACGCATTTTTTTAATATATTTGGAGTTGTTTTTTTATATATTATATGGATGTGATGTTTTTGAAATTGTTTTTGTTTATATATTATTGTAGCATTGTATATGAAAAAGTTGTTTTTTAAAAAATGAGGAATCCAAAATTGGTATTGGGAAAACTGCACTTAGCATGTTTTTGAGAAACATGCTTCTAAAAATTTCAAGCCACGTTTTTTTTTCAATTATATTTTTATTTCACAAGCACATTTGACATAAAGGTGCTACAATGAAAGTTCTCTTAAAACATCTATAGGTATCCTAAAGTAGAAGTTCTATTAAATAAGTGCTCATCAATCCTTGGAGATTACCTATAGATTTTCCTAACTGATATCCATTGTACACCTGTTAAAACATCTAAATCAAACCTAAGTTACCATATAAATACACACATTCACACATTTACATATATTGCATCCCCGTAAATTTGGCAATATTATGCCAAATCAATTATATTTTTTCCAAAATATTGGGCTTGTTTGGAAGTGAAGTTTTTGGCCAAGTTTTTTAGCTACTAGTTTTTTAACAACTTTTGCTACAGGAACTCTAAAAAACTTATCAAAATTTTTTACCTACACACTTTAAAATAATACACAAAAAACTTTTTTCCAAAATCTTAGCCGTTCCTTTGCTCCTTTAACTCTGCTCTCTCTCACAAGTCTTACGCACCTCAATCCTGCAATTCTCTGCAAACCCCCAGGCGGGAAAAAAAAATCAAATTGTGCATTAAATTTCCAAAATTCCGAATGATTCTTAATATGAAAGCCTCCCCGGAGGCCCGGACGACGTCGTCTTCATCATCATTGCCGTCCCGCTCAATCGTTACAGCGGAGATGGCTTTCTTGTTCATCTCCAAAGGATGGAGGGAGGTCCGCTACTCCGCAAGTGCTGACCTCCAAATGATTAAGAACCGGGCGAACAGGGGAATAGGGAAGGGGGTGGCGGAGCAGAGGGAGTGGCGTGCAGAGGGGAGGGGGAAGGGGCAGAGGAGGTGGCGCGGCAGCTGGGGCAGAGGGGATGGCGTGCAGAGGGGAGGGGGAAGAGGCAGAGGAGGTGGCGCTGCAGCTGGGGCAGAGGGGAGAGGGAAGGGGCAGGGCAGAGGGGCTAGCGGGGCAACGGGGGAAGGGCTGGTGGGGGAATGGGGTGGCGGGGCAGAGGGGGTGGCGTGCAGAGGGGAGGGGCAGAGGGGTGGCGCAGCAGCTGGGATAGAGGGGGTGGCGTGCAGAGGGTGAGGGGGAAGGGGCAGAGGGGGTGGCGTGCAGAGGGGAGGGGGAAGGGGTAGAGGGGCTGGCAGGGGAATGGGGCTGGCGGGGGGGGAAATGCAGAGGAGAGGAGAAGGGGAAAGAGAGGACAGGGGTGGCGGGAGGGGGAAGGAAGAAGAAGAAGAAGAAAGAGAGGAAAGAAAAGGAAAAGGAAAAAAAGAAAAAGAAAGAGAAAGAAAAAAAGAAAGAAAGAAAAAAAAGAAAAAGAAAAAAATTCACTTTACAAAAATTTTTACAAAATTTTTTATCTTATAAAAACTTCTACAAAAAAGTTTTTCACCTTATAAAAACTTTTACAAAATTTTTTCAAAAACTTCTACAGTGCGCTACAGTAAAGTTTTAGACAAACTCCCAAAAAACTCAGGTTCCAAACAGGCCCATTGTCATATGAGTAGGGATATAATCGAGTCAAGTTAAGTGCAAGTATTGCTATATTCGAGTTCGAGCTCAAGCGAGCAGTAGAAATGCAGTTCAAACTCGAACTCGAAAAATGATTTGAAAACTCGAGATCGACTCGATTATGCTTGATTTTCTTGCGAGTGTGATCAAGTTCGAGTACTTAATTCAACTAAAAAAGTAATTTTGGTAATTTACATAACTTCCAAGCCTAAAAGAGTAAAATTGTTATAACTAAATATATCATTTTTAATTAATTACTTTGTACTCGATAAGGTTCGACAAGCTTCCGAGCTTGAAAAAATAATGTTCGAACTCGGTTTGAATAATTATCAAACTACTTATACTTAACTTGCATTCGGTCAAAACCGAGTGCAAGTCAAATTTTTTACCGAGCTACTCGCGAGCTGCTCGTGAGGAGTTTGGTTCTATTACATCTCTACATATGAGCCTCTTCTTATTGAGTGCCCAATGAGCACCCATTAACCAAATCATTCTTTTGATCACTCCATATTTTTATTAAATCCATCTATTCATCAATGCTAATCAATAGTAGTGTCATTTGCAGGAAGTCGGCTATTTATAGCTAAAGTACAAAACCAAACGTGCCAAAACTAAAACTACTTAACTAATCAACTAATGGAATAATTAAGGCCCAACTTAGACATAAGTTGACTGAATTATTCTACCTATCTAAGATGCCTAAATGACTCAATTAGAACAAACAACTACATGGATCCAACTTACATGCAAGGTGGTCCAATTCTTTTTCTTAATACAAACGACCAAGTAAGTAAAATAACTAAGCTAGGAAAATAGCAACTTTGATCCGCTTCTTGATCTTCATGAACTAGGAATGGAAAATCCAACACCAAGATCTTCAATGTTTTAATTTGAAGCTAAGATTGCAAGAACGTGAGCATCCTAGGAACTCGAGAACTTGATCCATGCTCGAACCCTGGCAATGTGATCAACACTTGGACAGCTTTCATGCTCATATCAATGTATCTTAATTCAATTTTTTATACAGTGATAGTGTATACATTATCGGATTTGAATGCATAGCAACTAACCACAATTTGAGGGAAAATGACCTATTTCGTCCCTCATATTATAAAAATGAAGCAAATTAGTCCAAAAATGACAACCTGACATAGATTTTAGAGGTAAAATTGGAATATCACTTCAGTTTTCTCCAAATCTAGCTACATCTATTATGTACATGACATTAAGTTAGCATAAAAAGGAAAAAATAAAAAATTATAACAAAAAAGAAACTATTCTATCCAAAAAATTAAAAATTTTTGAAAATGAAATTAAGTCAACATAAAAAGGAGAAAGTTAAAAACTATAATACAAAAAAAACCCTAAGTTACAAAATTTTGTAAGTCAAAATTTTTAATTTTTCTAACGAGAAGGGTTTGTTTTTATGTTATAATTTTGATTTTTTTTTGCTTTTTTCCTAGAGAAAATGGTTTATTTTTTATGTTATACTTTTAATTTTTTTTCCTTTTTATGTTGACTTATTACCACTTTCTCAAATTTTTTTAAAAATTTTTTAGGGAGTAGGTTTGTTTCTGACATTATAATTTTTAAATTTTTTCAATTTTATGTTGAGTTAACGAGATGTGCATATTAGTTGTGGCTAGATCTGGAAGAAACTAAAGTGATGTTCTAATTTTACCCCTAAAATTTGTATCGATTTATTATTGTAAAACTAATTTGCTTCGTTTTTAGGATGCTCAAAGTATGGATCACACCCTTAAAAAAAAAATTATGGTTCACATTTTTTTTTTCAAGTTGCAGAGCTACTAAGGTTGTATGATAAAAAGTGCAACGAATGTGTCTTACCTAAAGGGGCTCTTATTCCTGGGATGAAGAATTGAGATGGACAGTTTTTTTTTTTTTTTGGTAAATAAAGATGCATTAAAATAAAGTCAAGTCAACAGAGTGCAAATTAAGGTATAGTCATCCGTGGGATGGTAACCCCCTTTAAGTCTTGCAAAAGTAAGGGAAGTACAAAATTAGGACATAATTCAAAAAAAGTGAAGTCTTGAGTGTTGCTTCTTCCCCAGTTGGCAAGGATGTCTGCACATTTGTTTGCTTCTCTATAATTATGGTGAAAACATACTTTCTGGAATGTAGTCAATAGCTCCCTGCAATCAGGCGAAAGTTCATGAAAAATAAGATTATTTGACTTACACAATGAGATGATAATGGCAGAGTCCATCTCCATTATTCATTACACAAGGACAGCTAAATATTGGCCATCTGCCTCTTTTATTCAGTAATTGAAACGACTTGTTTTATCAATTTCTGTCTCCCAGATTTGGAAAGTGCGCAACCCGTGTCTTTTTAAGTCCGTAGCTCCACCCACCGGGATAATGGGAGACTATAGGTACAACGCTAAATGTGGTCTTGACGTTGGGGAATATTCCTAGAACAAAGGAAAATTGGGAATTAATTGCGGAATGGGGTATATCTTTTTCATGTTTTACCTTGTGAATATACTTCTATTGAGGCCTAGATTTGGTACTGTCTAATAGTTTAGTGGTTGTCTTCAATGTATTTGAGGTTTTTTAACCTCGTGTACAAAACTGTTTCCTCTCTCATAATAAGAAAATAGCCATTGTTTGCCCCAAAAAAAATATTTTCTTTTTACTTTGTTTTTAGAATGTGAGAGACTAATTTGCTTCATTTCAAAAGGAACAAAAAAAGTTTCTTTTCTAGAATGTAAAAGATGAAACAAGTCATTTTCCTTAATTTAAACTTAAAATTCAAAATTGCATATATGATAGGGTAAATTATCTTTACCCATTATAGTTTAGCAATTTTGCACATAACCTTCTTGTGGTTTTAAAAGTTACACATAACCTTCTCATAGTATGAATTAAAGTGTTAAAATGACCGAAATGGTCGTCTGTAATGGAACCATTGAAATGTTGAGATTATCCTTGTTTAAAAATTAAAACGTCTAAGTTGACCAAAATATATAAACACAGTATGCATGACATTTTAACCCCTTATGATCTTGTATTTTATCACATAACACCCTTATGATTTGGTGCTTTGCCATATAATCCCCTTATACTTTTCAAAATATATACATAACCCTGTTATGGTTATGATAAAATACACTTTACCCCCTTATGGTTTAGCATTTTTTCACATAATCTCCCTATAGTTTCAAAACTATACATAATCCCCTGATGGTTTTATTAAGTGCCAAAATGATGGAATCTATATTCCATAACGGAGTCAATGAAAATGTTAAAAGTATATCTATGTAAAGTTGCAAGTTATTTATTAACCACGGATGGTTATTGTAATGACTAGCTCAGCCATTAGAAAAGATTGAAATGCAGTCCATGCAATCCATGGAGTCCGTTGAGTTAGTTAGGGAGAATATTCTTGTAGTTAGTTTGTTAGTCTGTTATTGCCAAGTCAGCAGGCAACCAAGACATCATTTGCATGCAGCCAGATATGATCTGAGCTGTATATAAGCATGAGGTCCGGAGGAGGAAGGCACTTTTTGGCATTTGAATAAAATCTCAATCTCTTCTTTCCCAAGTCTTCTTCCCTCTTCTCTTTTCTTTCTAGCTCTCATTACAGTGGTATTAGAGCTTCCGATCCTTGGATTCGGGAGCTTGATTCACAGCCATGGCAGAAGGAACATGCCTTAAAACAATCAAGGAGCAGGTCCGAAAGCAGGAAGCTAAGTTGCAGACATTCATGGAGTCTACCAGCGAGGCTCTGAAATCCATGGAGGAGAAGATGCTGGCCAACTCCACAAAGTTTAAGGCTCTAGTAGCTGGCATTTCGGCGTAGATTGGAGAGATCAACAGGAATCCACAACAAGAAAGAAGACTCCTAGCCACCCCTACAAGTTCCCTGCAAGGCAACTCCAGGCCAGGGCAAGTGCATCAAGAAAGAGGAGAACGAAATACTTTCATCCCAGGGGTGCCCAAGCTAGAGTTCCCCAGGTTCACAGGAGAGCAGGTAAGGGATTGGATCCAGAAATGTGAGACTTTCTTCCATCTGTATGGCATATTGGATTCGCAGAAGATACTGATTGCAGGAATGCACTTGGAAGGGAGGGCAAATGTCTGGTTCCAAAGTTTCAAACAGGATAAGAGGACATTCGGATGGGAAGAGTTCAAGAAAGGAGCGAGTCATAAATTCGGAGACCTAGGGGATGAGGATGGAGTCGAGGAATTCAACAAACTGCAGCAATCCTCCACAGTAATGGCTTATCAGGAGAAGTTTGAGGAATTGAGAGCCATAGTACTGCTCAAGAATCCGGGGTTGAGTGAGAGTTATTTTGTTTCCAGCTATCTGAGTGGATTACAGGAGGAGCTCAAGGTACTGGTCAAAATGCACAAACCTTAGACCCTACAAGAAGCCTTCGAGGTCGCAAGATGGCAGGAAAAGGCACTTGAGGTAATTTTCAAGAAGAGCAAGGCATCTAACAGGCTCTTTCCTCCTTCACAGACGAGTTCCAGTGGAGGAATGTCTGCACACAGACCACCTGTGGCCAGGGCAGCAACAGTCAGCAAGGGAGATTCCACAAAGCA